AAAAAAAAAAAAGAAGGGCCAGTAAGTACACGGGGCGTAGGTTTTTGTGCTTTAACACGCAGCATATTTTGCAGCCATGGCAGTTTTACTTATATAGTAAACTCGCTGTGCTTGTAAATAGCTTTAGTGTGGTAAATATACCTGTTTGACCTTTATGGCTGACAACACTGTGCTTGTGATGAATTACAGAACAAAGAACATGTGGCATAACTAGACTTCCTAGCCTCCCAGCATGAAAAGACATGCTGAGGTGTGAAGGGTTTAGTAAAATCTCCAAGACACTGAGACTGAGTGAAACCTGTCAGGCCCTTTGAATACTCATTCTCAATACGTGACTCACCATTTAAAGCACCGTGTCTGTTTGGTTTTGTGCGTTTCTTGGTTGTTTTTGCATAATCCATCAATTAAAAATGATAAAAAGAAAAGCCTTACCTGCTGACATGTGCTTGATGACTTGAGGACGAGGATTTTATAATAACACATGGCAGGAGCAAAGGTTATTTCAATAAGAGCGTGTTTCCTCATGCAACACTTGGCTGATGTAAAATACTTTGTGAGGGAAAGAAAATGAGGAACATGGTAGAAGTCAGTTTCATTTAAACTCTGTGAAGTTCCACAAACCTGCATTTTTTTTCAATAGGAGTGACACCTCTGAAGTCTGATTGTATAGAAGCCAATGTGAAAACAACCCATAGCTTCCTTAATCTGTAACTTTAGTAAACACTTCCCTGATGAGTTAATGGCCTGAGATTTACATTTTAATTAATTGATTTATGGGCTTTGGGCTTTTAATTGTTTCTTTGAGATGAAATTGACAGAGAAAGAAGCCCCTGCTCCAAAATCAACAACTTCAAGTTCCACTGAAATCTGCAGCTGTCTACATAAACAAGCCAAATGCCTTCTGGAGAAAGGATTTATGGATAGACAAGACAAAGATAGAGCTATCTGACCTCCATGACAAGATGTATGTTTGAAGGAGTAAAGATGAGGTTTTCAAACCTAAGAACATTGTATTGGTGGTCACGCATGGTGGTGGTAGCCTCATGCTCTGGGGCTGTTTAGCTCTCAGTGGTCTTGAACACAGTTGGGTGTTACATCAGGTCAAAGATGAGAAACACTTTTAAGAAAACGATCTTGGAATGGGTAAAACAGGCTAACATGAAGTCTCTGGAATGATGTTCCCAAACCCTACTGAAAACTTGAACTATGCTTAAAAGCTGGGTCCATGCCAGGAAACCGACAAATTTAAATAAACTTTACCAATTCTGCCATGAAGACTGGTGAAATATCTAGCCAGAACTATAGCAGAAGCTTGCTGATGGCTACCAAAAGCATCTGGTTGAGGTGCATCTAGCTAAGAGATATTTAAACAAATATTAATAGGGTATGCATGCATATATTTCAGCTTGTATTTACAATTTTGAACCTGTGTAGATTGGAAAAAAATCCAGTAAATCCAACCCTGATGCTGTCCATCCAACAGATGTATGCTGTATAATCATGTCACTCTGCAAAAATACCAAACCAAAGAAATCATTAAAAACCCAAAATTACGAGGACATTCATATCCATAATGAGTGTATGCAAACTTATGACCACAACTGTATGCAAAGGTATCGACTGTGAGGTCACCAGGTGGTTGACATTGGCATTTTGGAGCTTACCATCAGCTAACATTATTGAGCTGCACTGCAGTCATAAAATGCAAAGACACATATCGGCTAGTTGATGCTAAGCAAACACAAAAAAACAAGAACAAACAAAACTATAATTTCACTCACGACAGTTGAAGTAGAAACTTCTCAGATGGTCCATACCTCACAGAAATTCATGGCACTAATTAAATAATCCATTATAAAGAGTCTCCGACAGCAGGCATAGGGTGCTTCCACTGGATTAGCCTAGCAGTCGGCTCGGGTCAATTAACATGGCCACGCCCCTAACACGTTTAGCCAGGCAGATGAGTGAACAAAAAAAGCAAAAAAACAGTCGTTATGAAAGGGGAAGCTAAAGAACGTTTCTGCTTCCAGGACTTAACAAGTTTAAAATAGCATCCTTATATGTTCTCTTTTCGCTCTGAAATATTGGAACAAAAGCTCATTAGCCTGCTCTCTGCGGGGTCTGCATACTGCTGAGTTCCTTATTAACAAATCACTCAAATTCAGCACTGTTGGAAATGACACGTTCGTGTACTTAAATGAACCTGCAAAAGTCTGACCTAGTGTTGAATTTACAATCCCGATTGTTTAAATACATTCTTCGTAAATCTGTGAAGATAAGACGTGCTTATACATCTTATCTCTGCTTTTGCTAACCTTGAAGTTCAGAAAGCAAGCACGTCCGTACAACACAGATATACTCGGCAGGCTATACGTGCACTGAATGACACAGGAACCCAACACTGACTGCAAACGCAGGTGGACATTGTCACTATGCTGTGACATCAACCCCTGCGATGTGTTTTAGACATGGAATAAATTAATGAATATGTTGGGTTATGGAGCCTCAGATGAACATATCTGACCTAGAGAGTGGAGACTGATGAAGTGCAACACAGACACACATTTCAGCTAATTAAATAATAAAATATCACCAATCAAAAAATGAAGTTCTCCGATGGTCTGTAATACACAGCAAGCTGTAATATTTGTCAGATGATTCTATTACCCGATTTCAATTCTGATACCCAATTTTGCTGTGCAAAAAACTGCATGACAATAAAAAGCTCTAAGTCTATTAAAAATGCTTTAACAGCAGCACATACCTGTCAGTCAAAGCAGCCACATGTTAACATGCTTTTTAATGCTGTGAGGTTGGACATTTAACAGGTGAGTCTGTGGGGATTTACTGAGTTCTGAGCCCAGCCCTAAAGAGCCATTAGAGAAACTGGCGTTTTTAGCACTTCTGCATTTAGCTTCAATTTTTCAGCCCCACAGACTGCAGCCCGGCGCCCTTTTGCATCCTGTTTAAAGCATCTCTAAGCTGCCTTCAAGCACCTATGTGAGCTTCAACCATGAAACCTAGTAAAACGTTACAGCTTGCAAATCAAAAGGTAAATGGAATATACTTCTTTTTTTTTTTACTTAACTTGAGACTTAAAGGTGTTTTCTTACTACAAGCCTCAGTCACCTATTCACTCAAATACTTTTTCTATGCCTAAGCATATAAAATTCACAGACACACACTGATGGGTGCATCAGGGGCAACTCGGGGTTCAGCATCTTTCCCAAGGAAGCTTAGCCACAGGCTCAATAATACCAATCAGAGGGAATTCCAAGTGTCTATTAATGTGCATGAAAATATATCCAAGGATTATGTCCATCCTTTATATACAGTCTATGGCATTAGTATCACATCCTGTTTTATCACCAAATGAAAAAATATTGTACTAGTATGTTGTAAGTCACAAACAGCTTCCCCAGCTTTGCCTTATGCTGCACTGCACTTCTGTGCTCAGTAGGGGGCAGTGACATCAGATACCTGTGAAGCCCTAACCCCCCCCCCAACGCTGTCACTTATTAACAGGTAGTACAGTATGAAGGAAGTTTCCAGCTGCCCTGGACACATTCCTGTGTGTAATGGTATCCAAGATAGTTTCTCATATTTGCCAGCAAACACAGACACTCAGCTTTGTGGTCTGTGGTTCACTTTGATCATTTTTAAAAATATATTTAACATGATTTAATAAATGTGTGACTAATGTAACAGTGAAAATCCAGGATGATAAAGTATTTTATGTTTTGTATGTTATACAAAGTATGTTATGTATTATACTGTATAGCTATCTCAGAGGGGGGGTCAGGCCTCCTTCATTATCATATTGTTGCCATGGCATTTCAAACTCTCTCCAGAGGGAAGCCGTGGATGACAAAGAGGTGATGAGAGGAGTGAAGTTCTCCAATTCACTGGGACAGCATATAATAGCCGGGGAAGAGTAAAGAGCACACAGGCAGATCCAGGATACTCGCTCAGAAGATGAGCGTTGTTCCCATGAGGAGAGTCCTGAATGACAACGGTAAGACCTGCTATGCAATTTTAAACAGCCCATCATCCTGTATGCAGATTACACTAAGCCGCTGTAGCCTTTTCTTCCAGTGCTGCTCTTCTTAAGTGGACTTAGGGTTTTTCTTCTGCAGGAACCTGCTTGACACTCATTAAATCACTGCTGTTTGATATTCATTAATTTATTCCATTTGCACTGACATGGCCTTATTGGACACGTTTCTGGTCAATTCCGGCTCTGTGTTTAAACATTCATGAGTGCCGTAAAAGCCGATTACACTGTGTCTGTGTTTCTCTCTATTAATCCAGTTTAATTAGAGCCAAGTGGTCCCTGAACTTTTGGATGTTAAGTCTCAAAGAAAGTGATGTCACCCAACACTAAACACTGATTAAAACTATTGGGTTAACTAATGTGTGCCTCTTTTCTATCATTTCATTACATTTTAGACAGAAGAAGCTAGGTTTAAGGTCAGAGTAAAGGTTAGAGGTCATTCAAGTAGTTGTTAAAGTTAGAATAACTCTGCAGGAAAATAGATGGAGGTCAATGTAATGTCCCCTGAAGCGATGGAAACACAACTGAGTGCATGTGTGTTGGTGAAGCAGCTGCACACAGATGGTTTTAGAGGGTCAGTCAGAGGTGGACCTTTGTGCAGGGTCAGGCAGCGGTCCATTATTTATTCATGCCGACGTATCCGAAAGGCCGCCTAATTGCACCAGGAGGAGCCCAATTACGCACAGGGGCCTGCGGCCGCTCTGTCTCGCGTTCACAGGAAAGTGGGAGGTGGATCACATGTCAGCTATGACCGATGCTGTGCGTCTTATTTACATTTGCAGAGCTCGGGTTCAGCTCTGTAAACACACAGTGTTTGTGTGTGTTTATATGCTCGCTGGAACAGCAGATGCTGGCAGGAGTGCCAAACAAGAAAAGACAAATGTTGTCAGATAGACTGGAAATTGCTTACAGAACCTCTTGACAAGTGTTTGTTTTTTCTCTGATCATGACAGGCAAAGGTAAGGTGTTTACGGTGCTGCTGGTTGTGTATTTGTGTAACATGAGCACACATACATAGTCTTTGTGTTACAGTGGGCTCCGGCGAGGATGTGAATACGAGCTCTGGGACGGAGAAGGTGATCAGCAAGGAGCCTTTCTGCTCCCTGCTCCCTCGACTGCATTCATCTTCTCAGTCTACAGGTGATATCCAGTCTTAAAACTTGCACTACTTATCTCATATTGTATTTACCAAACTGCAAGTTGCAAGAGAAAACTACAATTTTCGCAGAACTTTCATCTTGTGAAAAATTAAGCATACAGCATTTTTGCTTTCATGGTAATTTAGAGGGTAAGTAGCAGGAAAATGCTGCTAATTAAATACTCAATTAACTGACTGGTCATCAGTGAGTGACAGCGCCTATATAAAAACAGAGGTTTTGGCAGTTTGCAGGTCAGTATTAACACATGCCAAGGAGAAAAAACATTTGCAATGATTTTAAAGAAGCAACTGTTCCTGCCATCAGTCTGGGAAACCCAACATTGTACAGTGAGATTATTCACAAGTGGAAAACATTCAAGACAGTCACCAGTCTTCCCAGGACTGGACATCCCAGCAAATTCACCCAAGGTCAGACCGGGCAAAGCACAGAGAAGCTCCAAAAGACCCCCAAAGCAACATCTCAGGCTCTAAAGGCCACAGTTAGCATGTTAAACATCAGTGTTGATAACAGTACAATAAGAAAACGCCTGAACAAGTAAGGCTTGTTTTGAAGAGTTGCAAGGAGAAAGCCTCTTCTCCCGGAAAAAGAACACGAAAGCAGATGCAACTTTGTAAAGTTACATTTTTACATGTTTGAATACAGAGCAAAGGAAATCTTTAATGTTATTATTAATACCCGCTTTTAAAAAACAGCTGCCAACAGAAACTAACAATATCTAACAAACCCGACACTTTTCTCTCTATTCAGATAATCAGCACCGTTCTTGTATCGTCTCTCCAACTTCCTCCCTCCACCTCTCTCGTGCCGCCTTTGTTTTTCCTCAGCCTATCATCTATCTGATCAGGTTTACCTACAGGCTGCAGATATTTTCCAGCAGCTGTGTAGAGACAAGCCAGCCAGCCAACATCAGCGTCTACATTATGGAAAAAAGACGGAAACATCGCTGCTCAAGAGCGGGGACAAAACCATGGAGAAGCATGTGTTCCAGCTCGCCTTTAACACACTTAAATGTAAGATTACAGTGAACGATTTAGAATAGCGCACCACACTTTAACCATATTTAGTTTTATGAATGCAGATGAACTGTACTGTATATCCAGCATGGAGGGAGCCCACTGGTGGTTAAACATAAAGTCAGGGGGAAATTAATTTGATCCCCTCTACTGCCACCTCTGAGGACTTTACCCAACTCCTAGGGATAAGGTAGCCTTATCTCTATAATGAATAACAGAGGAGAGCAGCATATGTCAGCTCCAATATTCACTTTCTGAATAGCATCTTCAACTGCAGGCAGCAGATTAAATAATATATAGTCATACATTTCATTTCTCCACGTGACTGCAAATTGCTTGAGTGGAAGTGCAGTAGATGTCTGTTTGGGAAGTGATAAGAGAGTGCATGTCATGGGCAGACACACACACACGCACACACATATAAATTCACTTTAAAAAGCCACAAGTGCGCATATAGTGAAAAACACAACGTTTTACATACATTATTTGACCATTTAGGTGGCAGCAAGTTTTTCCAGATACCTGTCTTTTCTTTTTGGTTGTCCACAGCCACCTACAATGTAGGTAAACAGAATTTCTTCTGAATATTAAAGCGCAGCATTTTGTATTTTTGCAATAAACAGTTTGTAAAACACGCATCATTGATTCTCTATGACAAAACAAGAAATAATCATCCTGATTTTGAACATAAGACAGCATAGTGACTAAGTGTCACTACCTATTTAAATGTTCTGTAAAGTTCCTTATATAGGTTCATCAGAGACCAACATGGTGCAGTCGTTTGATACTATGTGAATCTGTTCCCATGTCACCATTTCCAGTCACGAGGTGTGTCAGTGTCACTATGACAGAACCAGCTAACCTTAAAACGCTTGTTTCTTATGGGTAAAACATGGTTACATTTGACTGGCAACTTGTTTGATTATAGAATGATTCTGGGTAGACATCCGCATCTAAATGATAAATCTCCTATACTGTGTAGCATTTAGGCTACTTTAGCCTTCCCACTATTGGTGCACATCTGCAAGCCACTTTACACCCCACCTCCACTCCTAGATCCCCCTTTTCTTCCAGACTTTATCAGTCACATCTGTTGTCATCTCTGTACCACTGGCAATATCATGACTACAGCAGCCTCGACTGAAACACATTTATGACATTCATATGTATCTGCATGTAAAGGGAATTCCTGTTTTAGTGTGTATTGCATAGTGAACTTGCACAATGCTCTGGACCGCCACAGAGCATAGCAAACACCCCCCTTCAGTTCTTGCCCAGCAACACGAGTAAAGGAAGGGAAGGGGCAAACAGACAGGGTTGGCGAGCTGCTTTTGAAGTGTTGCTGCATGTTGCATTTTTCATTCACTGGATAGAATTCTTTATCATGAAAATTGCATGAATATCTATGA